CAATGTTTGTATTGATTAAACCCTAACAAATAAGAAAATAATAAAAAGAAATTAGTATATAAACACACAAAATGAATATTTTAGTCTAATAGTGCCTATTTTATAATTATAATGTCAAAAAATAAAGAATAAAAAAGTATTTTATGATACATAGTATAAAACTGCTTGACGATTAGGTGAGGCGAGCCACGAAGGGCGCCTTGTTGCCTAGGCGCCTGCCTAGACGTCGCATTGCTAAATGCTGTATTTTCTTCTTCTTTTCCTATAACAAAATAGCCCATACTTTTTGAATTTTCTTTTCTTCTTTTTGTTATGAATATGTTGATTTTCTATACTTAAACATGAAGTTTATACTTTTTTTATGAAAATAATGTTTAATTATTAAGGAAATATGGTTATGGAACCTAGGGAACTACCCTAGAATATATGTTTTATACTTAAAAAATCCATCACCTAGGCAGGCGCCTAGGCGACTAGGCAACAAGRCGCTCCCCTGTCGCCTAGCCTTGCCTTGGCACCTTGAAAACTATGTCATGGACTGCTACCAGCTTCTCAAGTTATTCGAGTAAGTTAGTCTAGGTAGAAGACTACATGAAGGGTGTTAATGGTACTGTGGAAATGGACCCACTCCTGACTCGCTCTCTAGGAGCAAGTGTCAATGTCATCGGTGCAGCACTGCACAATCAAACCTCAGTTAATCCTCTTTTAGTGAGACTCACACAGAATCTACACCTGCARCAGTTTTTTCAAATGGAAATTGYTCCAAAAGAGACAATATAAGATGTTACAGGCTATAGCAGAAGTTGGCCCAGAGACAACAATGACAGGAATACTTGGGAAATCAAGTTCCCTAGAAGATATGTTGGCAGAGGATCATGGCTAGGTTGAAAAGTTATGAAGCGCATCAAGTACAAATGAAAATAGGAAGCTCCGTTAATGTCATTTCCATTCATACATTAAGAATCAATGGTATTTTAGAGAAAGATGTAAATGGTTTGCCTATGGAGATGATGCACTTTAATGTAAGAATTTTGATGATGATGGGTTCTGTAATGGGGAATGTGGAATTGGGACCTTACAAGCTTACTGAAGAGTTCTAGGTTGTTATCAGGATGATGGTATATCTCTTTATTGGGAAGACCCTTCATTAATCAGCTTCACTTGGTGCCATCTACCTATCATCAATGCATTAAGGGGGTTTGCAAAGACAAGCAAGTGCAAATCCCAACCACAGGGGTGCTCTTCAAGTCTTTGAAGGCGCACGTGCACAACGCTATCTATTATACTGAGATATCTCTCAAGGGCATTCAGTTGTTGAACCACAGTCGTACCATTAGCCAGTATCTCAAGCTTGAAGGAAACAAAAAGTTCCYGAGGCATGTTGTATGCAAATGATAAAGCATGTGGTGAGTCCTACACCTTGGTTCCAGCATATATGTATGATGACCAGATGTCATTTATCTCAAGGGGAGGTAAAAACTTTGGACCTAGTCTCTAATCTTCACAAGATTCCTTGCTTCAAAATATTTTCTTCTCATAGCTATGCAATGGGTATTTGTTATTAATGACTGCAGTAAAGATTCAATCTCAACTTGTTTGACTTTTTTTTATTTTTCGGGAAGTTATGTAGATATATACTTTGTAATCATGCAACTATGTAGTTGTCTTTAATCACACGTTTCAATGATTGTAGTCATATAGTCCTCTATGTAATACACGTTATTGCCTCTATTCTATATATATGAGAATCCACCTTAGATGTTACATAAATTTATTACAGAGGACATAAAGTTCTATCACTGTTAACCTACCTTTCTTGTCACAGCACTACCATAATGTTGACATTAGAAGTATGGTGAACAATGATAAGGATAGTTTGCCAGAAAGTCCTTTTGCAGTGTATGAGAGGTGCAGTACTATGGGGGCTTTGGTGTGAAAGGAATGCTAGACCTTTTGGGGAGAATCACAAATCAGTTCAAGAGGTTATAGAACTCACTTTGATCAGAGTGGAAAATTGGGTGCTGGTGACGGATGATTTTAAAGGAATATCCATAAACGACTTATTAAGGGGATGGCAAACAGTAGCTAGTTTTCAGATTAGCAAAAAGCAAAGACTACTAGATTGCTCTCCTCCTGAAGTAGGTTTAATCAAGTTTAATTTTGATGGGTGTTGCCTTGGAAATGCAGGACCTTCGGGATCAGAGACCATAATAGTAATATTATACTCAGTTTTACAGGCCCAGCAGGACAGGGTAACTCCCTAAGGGCAGAATTGTTAACATTAATTCAAAGTCCATAACAAATCCACAGTATGTATATATTTTTTCCTTGATAGGTAAAGGAAATTTATTGAAATACAACATGCTCTAAGAAAAAAAAATAATAATAACAGGAACCATAACCTCAGCTTTCCCCACTGATTGCTAAAATCAGTAGATATAGTTAATAGTTGAGTAACCWTTTTCTCCTAAGGAAAAGCAAAACAAGACTTCAAATCACTGAAGCATAATAAAATGCAATTTGATTATCACTGAATGCTTTTAAACCTCCAAAACAAATTCAGTAAAGTTARGCTTAAACTGAAAAATGAAGGTTTATTGGATAAAAACAAGGTTCAAGGCTAAGACCTTGCAGCCACTTGTTTCTGTGAAAAATGATGGGAATTCATGGGTCTTATAAGCAGCAACAGTAACTCCCTGTGTTTCCTGTAATAGAAACATAAAAATGAAAAATATGTATATCAAATGCAAATAATAAATTAGATATTTAAGCTATTTCTAAAATATTATGGAGAAAAAATATACACACCAAATATTCAAGGGTTCTAGGAATATCCAAGATTGATTTTACACCGGCAGATATAACTGCTACTGGAGTCCTTCCTAGCTCAGTGAGATCAGAAGATATATCCATTGCTGCATTGTATTTGAAGCCATTAATGAATTTCATAATAAAAACAGGAATAGAAAATCAGACAGTGATTTGATGAACATGTATATACCATTTCAAAGGACCAAAAAGGTAAACATAGATTTATACCTACACTTTTTTTTTTCTTTTTCTTTTTTTTACCAGCATTGAACTTTGAATCTGTGGCATAGATGTTCCTTGGGAATCAGTTTGTTCTCTTTCAGATAATCCAATTGGTCAACCATACTCGAAATTCATAAGTATCACACAAGTGACCCTAYGTCTCAGGCAATACAGCATCTCTACAAGTGTTCCATGGTGTGGGGTTCCTGATTCAAGAATCTCTTGAACTATTGGTTGCTTTCTTCAGCTGTCCACAAATTTAGAAAAATGCTACTTACTACAAGTGTTCCATGGTGTGGGATTCCTGATTCAAGAATCTCTTGAACTATTGGTTGCTTTCTTCAGCTGTCCACAAATTTAGAAAAATGCTACTGACTATTTGTCCCTTTTACTGGTAGTTAAACCCTTGGTCCAGTAGATCCAGATAGAGATGCAAACAGATCAACTCAGATTCAGTAAAGGGTATATCCAATCTGATTCGATAAGACGTACTACCAATCCAAATTCAATAAGAATCCATTGGATTTCCAAGATTATGATTCAAATTCGAATTCCAATATCCAATTCAATTTGGATTGTGTAAAAAAAACTTGATGATATAAAATAATAATATATTATAATATAATATAATTATATAAATAATACATTGAATATAAGTATATAATAAATATAAACAATATACAATATATAATATTTCATAACTAATGGATCAGATCAGGTCGTGGCGGTATCCAAGTTTGTTAGGATCGACTTTTTCAATTCAATCCAAATTGTTAGGATCAAGGGAGGAACTGGCTCTAACTGGATCGAATTTKKATTCAAATGGGATCTGATCCGACTTAGTTGCAGTCCTTGACCCAGATAAAGGCCCAAGCTTCCTTGTAATCAGAACAACACCATCTATAGAAGGGTGGTAGCAATCATGTGCAAGAAAATCTAGCAATACGCTCCCTCATTTAATTGGCTCTTCTTCTGAATCCAAGGAATTTAAACTGCTTCTCTGACACAATGGGCCAAAGATTTATCACCTCTGAAGTCTTTTACTTGTTTAGGAAAAACATTAAGAGGCAAAATTGGAAAATTTATTTTATTTTTTTTCATTTATGTCAAAAGCTTGTTTATCCTAAATGTTTGATTATTGCTGAATTTGTGGATATATTGAATTAATTATCACTTTTGGTGAATAACTAAATAAGTAGGGGGTCAGCTCCTTGATTGCGGAATAGCAGAATGCGTTAACTATTTTATCCATAAGTATTTCATTATATGACTATTTTATACACTAAAAGGAAAAGTGACTACTATTTCATTTAAGCCAATTCAGCAGTTATCAAATAGGTCTCCCAAGTTTGGAAGTCAAATTCCAGCTTATGCAGAGTTGGATGTCCCAAATCCATTTTTGCTGCATCAGCCAATCAGAAATTATCRCTTGATGATGATAATATCCTGGGCAAACAAGTGCAACTTTGTGCAAAAAAAAAAAACAATGCAAAAGGTTAGGTGTGTATCCAGTCCACCGCTCCCAAGACCCCAGATAGTTGGGATCAACATTGGATTTTTGTATCAACCAATCAAAGTGAGACACATTTGGCATTACCCAGTTTGAATCATTGATAGATTATACGTAAGCAAGGCTCAAAATTTTGTCACATATCGGTCCATATCGGCGGTAGACCTGTTCATGGGCCGGGTAGCCCGATGGCCCGGCCCACACCCGTCGGGCTTGGTCATGTAATTAGGCCCGCGGGCCTGACCTCGGGCCTAACACAGTAAGCCCGACTGTGTTTCGGGCCGGGCTCGTGATTTGTCAAAAAAACCCGGCCCAGCCCGACTCAACATTATATATTTTATAAAATACATAATATGTATTTTATCTATTATATAAAATATATAAATAATATAATATTTATTGAAATATATATATTTATAATTTAATATATACATTTTTTATTTTTTCTTTATAATTTCTCTCTCTCTCTCTCTCTCTC